CGCGGAACCACAGCGATGGGTGAAAGCGCCTCACCAGGGCCCCTTAGACCGGAGTAGGGCAGGGGGGGCCACGCGCGAGCACCCACCCGCCCGCCCACCTACGTGGGACCGTGTAGGAAGGGCTGGACGGAGGGCAGGACTCGCTGACCTTGCTGACTGCCCGGGTGTCGCAGCTCCTTTCAAAGGCAGTCCCGGGAGCGGGCAGAGCGTGACAGACCGGAGGGTGGGGACCCCAGGACACAGCCGCACGTGTCTTCTCAGGGTTCTGGGAGCCCCCAAGTTAGAGGAGCGTGCGCTTGAGTGTCTGCGGGCGGTGGGTGCCCAGCCTGGCGGGTAGGGCTGGCAGGGTGAAAAGGGGTCAGCGCCTGGCTGGCGGTCCGTGGCGAATGCAGCATGACCACAGCAGGCCAGGGGCAGCTGCTGTGGGTGGTCAGCGCTGGGTCTTGGAGTCGTGCTGCCTGCCCCTAATTTTTGCCCCACTTCGGGCTCCCTCTATGTACTGCACCTGTCAGTGCCTCAGTTTCCTGCACTGTGAAAATGAGGGTCAGGGTGGTCCAACTTACTGAGCATGCGGGGAATTAGCATGTGTGAAGGCTGGGCACCCCTATGGCCCTTAGTAAAGGCTTAGAAAATGTTTGCTATTGTTATTACTCTGTTTACTCAGTTTTTACAGAAAACTGAGTCTCAAGCGGTCTCAGTCACTTGCCCAAGGTCACACAGCCAGTCAGTGGCAGGGTCCAGGCCTGGCCAACCCCTCAGTATATTCTAGAAAGTTCTGCCTCAGCTCAAATGGGGTGCATCCTGTGAAGCCTGCCCAAGGTTTTCCTCACCCAGTGCATCCAGTTTCCCTTTCCTTCCTCTGGGTGTCCCTACACCCATGTGTGGCTCTCTCTCCCTAACTCTGGGGGCAGCTCAGGGGTCTGAGCCCCCTGAATGGCATTAATGCACATGGGCTATAGATGAGGGGCTCATGAAGTGCCGCTTCATGAGTGAACTAGTGAAGGGATGAATGCCTGCCTCTGTCTTTCAGGTCTGCTCTCAGAGCTGAAGTTGGCTGTACCCTGGGGCCACATTGCTGCCAAAGCCTGGGGTTCCCTGCAGGGCGCCCCAGTTCTCTGCCTGCACGGCTGGCTGGACAATGCCAACTCCTTTGACAGGCTCATTCCTCTTCTCCCGCAAGGTGGGAATGGGGCTGAGGGGTGAGATGGCAGGACTCCAGGGGAATTAGGAGGGCGGGAGGACGGCTGACATAGACACCTCCTACCTGCTTCTCTCTGTTTCAGACTTGCATTATGTTGCCATGGATTTTGGGGGCCATGGGCTATCTTCGCACTACAGCCCAGGTCTCCCCTATTACCACCAAAACTTTGTGAGTGAGATCCGAAGAGTCGTGGCAGGTAAGAGGCAGTGTGTGTCCGAGGGAAGGGAGTGCTCTGGGATGTCCCCTCTCATCGTTGGAGGAGGGGTGTGGTATCCAGGAAGCAACACTGGCCTGGGAGTGGGTGCCAGGGGTCCAGCACCACTTGCCAGCAGTTCATGGGTGACTTTGGGGAAGTTGGAGAGGGCTGCTGAGAAGAGCTCACTTCTTCTGGTGGGTTCCCCTTCTGCAGTATAGCTGAGGTCCCGTAAGCTGGTCTCCTGGGTGGGTACCCCAGATGCTGGAGGAGAGAGGCCAGGCTGAGACTGGGCCCATCCAGACCTTCTGGGTCTTTGTGCTTCTAGCCTTGAAATGGAATCGCTTTTCCCTCATTGGCCACAGCTTTGGTGAGTACACTGGCTGAGACCCGATGGGCCCTGGTAGCTAGATATTGACCTTTGGGCACTGTGCCCTCTGACCTCAGGCATCTTCCCAGAGTAAAAGTCCTGAGATTTGATGACGGGAATGTGGCCTATTAAGTGGTCAGGGCTGACGAATGGGTCATTATGGACAAGGGGTGAGGGGAGCCCTGAGTTTGATACCCATATGGAGACCCCACCCACTGGTGGGCAGATGCTGGGCCCCCAGTCTTGGGGTGGGGCAGCTCCTGAGAAGAAGTGGGGGTGGGTAGTTGGCAGTGAGGGGATGTCACCAACTGCTCTTTTGTCCCATAGGTGGTGTTGTGGGAGGAATGGTGAGTTGGTGGCTTTATCTAGCCACCTGGAGTTCCCTGGGTGGGGTGGGGAAAGCAGAGGAGGAGGGGGGAGTTACCTGGGACAGGAAGTGCCTCTTGTGACAGTAAGAGTCATTACAGTAACCACTGGAGATTCCTGATAGAGTTAAGTGTCTCCACATTCCCTCGCCTTCTGTCACAGCTGTCACCAGGGTCTGGAGCTCACTGGGTGTGGCCCTCAAGGTCAGGAAGGGCACACCAAAGGGGTAGAAGATTCTCCTTTTGGCCTCTTGGTCCACACCCTTCTCTAGGATCCCCAGCAAAGAGTGTGAGCGCCTTCCCCTTTGTCCTGCCCTACTCATTCTCCACTTTGGTGTCCCATTGTAGTTTTCCTGTACCTTCCCTGAGATGGTGGACAAGCTCATCTTGCTGGACGCATCGCCATTTGCCCTGGATGCTAATGTGAGAACGGGGGCTCTTGTGCTTGCTGCCACTAGGGAAGACCCAGGATCCAAGTGGTGCGCTCAGCCCTGTTTCCTCTGGTGGGCACTAGGGAGGCAGGAGGTGGTGACAGAAGGTGGACAAGGGGGGGAGTGGTTAGGAGGCCTCCCACAGAGGACAGCGTTCTGCTGCTTACATCCTAGGAGTGATTGTCAGGAGAAGGAGTGTGAGGGGACCCCTTGGAAAATGTGTGCGGCCTGGGATCTGTGGAATGCCAAGGCAGTCGTGCATGGCAGACGATGGGCAGGAGTAGAGGTGGAGGGAGCTCTGGGGCACAAGCTTAGCAGACCTGCTGCACTCACACCCAGTCAAATGCCTTTGTGCTGTGTGTACACCTTGTGCAACCACACATGGCAGCCCTGAGTATGGACTGATGGGGGAAATACCCCTCTGGCCACCACCACCAATAATAACCGCACTGTCCCTGCAGCTGAGTCCTCTCTGGACCTCAGTTTCCTCATCCATAACATGAGGAGGTTGGACCCTGACATTTTTCATTCTATTCCCAAGGGCTCAGCCTTTCACTTGTGACACAGGACTCATAAGTTTCAGTTTTGTTGTCCATTAAATGACTACAGACTCCGTAAGGGCAAGAACCTTGTCTGTCTCTTTATCACCTCCCCAGTTCTGGCACATAGTAAGTGTTCCGTAAGTGTTCGTTGCATGAACAGATAGCTCAGCTAGCTTGTGAGTCATTTTGGATCCAACTCACAGGCGGCAGGTAGCTGGCATTCTGTTTTCTTTGTGTATTTCACCCCAAGTTAGCAAGCACAGTGCCCCCAGGACTTCCTCTTGATGAGTCTAGGGGAACATTTGGCTAGGACACTCTATTCTGGGAGTGGGGGTGGATGAGACTGTCGCCTCCCACCATACCCCCAGGCAGTGGACCCGTGGACAGGGCCAGGCCATTCTCACAGAGTGAGCTGCACACTGTGGAGGGAGATTGGAAGTCCTGGAACCTCACCCCTTCTGCCAGTCCCTTCTCTGCATTGGGAATGAAGGTTGACCCAGATGAAGTTGCCAACACCTGCTGGTTTGAGGCTAATATACGTTTGCAAAGTACTTGGCAGTTGACAGAGATTTTGTTTCCTCTCCATATCCAACCTGGCACCTTCAACTCGTGGCAGGCAGGGCAGGGCCGGCTGTGACTGAGACCCAGGAGAAGACGGGCTCAGAATCACAGGGGTAACTAGCAGGGCAGAGCGCAGGCCAGGGAGGGGCACCTCATTAGCAGCCTGGGGCCCTGGCCACCCAGCCAACCTTGAATCCTTAGGAGATGGAGAACTTGCTGACTTACAAGCGGAGAGCCATAGAGCACACGCTGCAGGTGGAGGCCTCCCAGAAGCCCTCGCGTGTGGTCAGTCCGGAGGAGATGCTGCAGGGGTGGGTGCTGAGTGTGGGCAGGGAGGGAGGGTGGGGGAACTTCGGGTCACCAGAGGAGGAAACCCTGTGGAAACACAGAGAAGCTTCTTTCTCCTTGCCCACAAAGCCTGGTTCTCCCTATGGCCACTGGAGCACCAGACTCCCTAGGCCGTCTTCAGAAGCCCCAGCGGGGCAGTATCTGCTTTTTCCACCCCTTCTCCATCCATGTCCTTCACCTCTAGCACCCCTGTCCACACCTCTCACACCTTTCTCCTTCCGCCTCAAGCACACACACACTCTCCTTCCATACCCTCTCCCTTCTGGGGCACCAGCTTGCGGCTCTTACCCGGAACTTCCCATGCACTTTGCTCACTTCCTCACTTGCTGGGGCCTCAGCTGGCTGGCAGTTCCTCAGAAAGCCTGCCCTGACTCCCCCAGGTGAGCTCCTCTCCCTGCCCTGGAGGTAACCCCACCTTCCAGTAAGATCCTACTAATTCCCCACAACCTCCACCTTGACTGGCTTGGTCACGTTCATATATCCTGCATCTGGCGGTGTTCCTGGTAGGTTAGGACTCTGTAAATATGTGTTGTCTAAAGGAGTAGAAGCTCAACTGGGCACAGTGGCACTCCCAGCAATTTGGGAGGCCAAAGTGGGAGAATTGCTTGAGTCCAGGAGTTCAGACCAGCCTGGGCAACATAGCAAGACCTCATCTTTACAAAAAAAAATCAGGAAATTGTCCAGGCATGGTGGCTCACTTTGAGAGATAGAAGTGAAAGGATTGCCTAAGTCCAGGGGTTCGAGGCCAGCCTGGGCAACTTGGCGAGACCTCGTCTCTACAATAAATCAAAAAATTAGTCGGGCGTGGTGGCACATGCCCGTGGTTTCAGCCACTTGGAAGGCTGAGGCAGAAGGATCGCCTGAGCCCAGGAGGTCATGCGGTGAACCATGATCACACCATTGCACTCCAGCCTGCGCAACAGAGTGAGACCCTGACTCAAAATTTAAAAAATAGGTCAGGCACCTGGCCTCAAGTCTGTAATCCCAGCACTTTGGGAGGCCTAGGTGAGAGGATTGCCTGAGCCCACGGGTTCAAGACCAGCCTGGGCAACTTGGTGAGACCTCATCTCTACAATAAATCAAAAAATTAGCTGGGCGTGGCGACACACACCTGTAGTTCCAGCTACTTGGCTGAGGCGGAAGGATCTCCGGAGTCCAGCAGGTCGAGGCTGTGGTGGTCGTGAGTGTGCGACTGGACTCCAGCCTGGGTGACAGAGTGAGACTCCAACTCAAAAAAAAAAGTTAGAAAGGAGTGGACCCCCCACACACGCCACATGCTGTAAACATGCAGTTGACACACAGGATGCACGCATACATCCCTTGTGGGGGATCTCCTTTCTGCTGCCCTCCTCTCCTTTTCGTTTGACCTTCTGGCCCTAAAGCATCTGGCTTTCTTCTGTCTCCTCCCAGGTTCCTGAAGAACAACAGTCACGTGGGTGAAGAGTGTGGGGAACTCCTCCTCCAGAGAGGAACCACCAAGGTGGCCACAGGTGAGGACTCACTGTTCAAGGCCACTGTGTATCGTCACTCTCCTATCGTCTTACTGAGGCGTGACGGTGAGGGCTTGCTCAGGACCAGACAGGATGCTGAGTGCTTTACACACAGTCTCATAGAGCCCTCCTCATGCCTTGTACTCGCCCCATTTCGAGCAGGAGAAACAGGCTTGGCATCACCAAGCAACCTAGGCAAGGCCACTCAGCCACTGCACACTCTGTGGGGAGTTTAGTCAGGTGTCTTAGGACTGAATGTTGGTGAATGTCACAGCCATGTTCTGCTAGATCTGTGGGATGGGTGCCCAGTATCAGAGTCAAGGGCCCCTGCAAGGGTGTCCCAGGTGGCCCAGTAACTTTGAAGAGGCTTTTCACGGCTGACAGGTGGGGTTGGTGGCGCCTTGGCTTTAGAACAGCTTCCAGCGCCAGCATTTTCTGCACTTTGTTTCCAATATATTCATTCAAGAAACCATGACTGAGGGTCCGTGACATGCCCGGCCCCAGTGAGGCTGCAGTGCAAGAGCCAACATTGTCCTCTCAGTGGGACCAGAACCTCTGGTGACACAACACCAGGAGCTACTGTTCACAAGTGGAAATGGTGCCCCTGGAGTTCAGCAAGAAGGGGACCAGATAGAGACCAAGGTTCTAGAAGGAAAGATGGATGGTAAACAGATAAAAAGCAAAGTCAGTGGTTAGGCATTCTACAAGTAAGTGTAATAAAGGAAATAGATGAAATAGAGTTTCTGAGAAAGACTAAGTAAGGGGCGGGTTCCAGAGGGGCCAATCCAGGAGATAGCTCTTGGGGTGTGAGGGCAAGCTGGAAGGAGATGTGTGTTAACCTGGGCGAAAAGTCCTGGCTTGGATTCCTGACCATATTCAGCTGAGAGATCTTGGGCTAGTCCCTCCCCTTTTAGACTCCCCTGCTTAGCTGGGTGACAGACAAGGTCTCAGGATGTTTGCCCTAATAGGCTGATAGGGTCAAGCAAGGTGGCAAATGTGGCTTTGGTTTATAAAGTACCAAATGAAACAGGGGTCAAAAGCCCAAGTGCCTGTTGTGGAGTCCATCCTTCTGCTGGGTGGGAGGCAATGGGAGCGCAGGGACTTGGGTTAGCACGTGGGAGTCCCTTCTGGTGTGGCCAGAATTTCCATTTGTTCAAGGGAAGCCATAGATCTGTTGAGCTAGATATTTTTAGGTGTCAATTATCAATCCAGAAATTGACAACACAGATGAGGATCTAATGAATTCACTAGAGCTGTTGTGGCCTCAGGTGCCAGTTTGTGACCTGTTGGGTCTTTGTCATCATCTCTGAACCTTTGTCTTCTCCCTTCAAACCCATCATGGAGAGGGGAGGCTGAGGGCCACAGGCTCAGGCTTCCAGGATGAGGAGCCCCATACAGATGGCTGGCCCACAAGGCCCCAGGCACAGAAGTGGGCTAATCTGGAATAGACAGGCTCCTGGCCAGGCCAGGGAATCCGATTAGGCCCAGGGTCACATGAAATGGTGAACACAGAGAGCTGACCTGGCGCCCTTCTGTGGGAGTCAAGGGGGTGGGGAGAGGAGGGAGGGAGGAAGGAGTAAGAAGGAGTTGAGCGCACCCCCCTCCAAGCTGGAATAGTGAGCAGGTGGCCTCAGCGGTGTGTTGGGCCCACACTTCCACTGCCGTTGTGGCCCTTTGGGACGCAGAGTCCAGATGCCACCAGTGCCTCCAGGACAATAAGGGCTCCTCCGAAGTCCTTCCCCTCTGGCCCCACACCTGACAGCCCACATTGGATTCTGGAGCTAGGCAGAAGACTGAGACAGCCACCCTCCCCAAGCCTCTATCACCCAACCTAATCCCTTCAAAATCTGCATTCGCTTCCTGGGGCTGCCATGGCAAAGTATCACAGACAGTGTAGCTTAAGCCACAGAAGTGTATTCCCTCACAGTTCTGGAGGCCAGAGTCCAAGATCAGAGTTGGCTGTGAAGGAGAATGTGTTCCTGCCTCTCTCCAGCCCCTAGGGGCCTCTGTTCGCCTGGCCTGTCTGTGCTGCTCCCAGGGTGTTTACAGAGTACTAAGAAGTGGGGGCCACCACGGAAATCTGGAAGGAGGACAGTCGTGGGGAGAGGTTGCAGTTTCACTGTTTTGAATAAACTGTGAAGGAGGTGACTTGAGCAAAGGTCACACGTTTTTTCTGGGAGAGGGGTGCTACCAGGACAGGCCTTGAGCTGTGAACTGGAGCGTGCTGGGGGGAAGGGCAGAGGGGATGAGCCTTCGTCTTATCTTTATCTCCTTGTCCAAGTACAGACACCACAATACCAGTGTCTGGAAACAAGCTTGAAGGGTTCAGCATGAAGGAGGGAGGACTCAGCTCTCCCTGATATTCCCTAAGGACAAGGGGATGGTCTGTGTTTTATCTGGCCCCTGAAACCTCCTTTTGTACGAGATGCTCAAATTCCTTCACAAGCTGGCTGCATTCAGGTTGCAAGTCCGATTTGTTTAACTTGTGCTGTTTAAACAAAAATATTTGGCATGGAGGGAATTTTAAGGAGGGTGTTCATATTTAAAATAGAAAGATTTTATATAACAGTAGAGACTTATAGTTTCTTTTAAAAACTGGGCGATAGCCGACTCGGTGGCTCAGCCTGTAATCCCGCGCCTTTGGGAGGCTGAGGTGAGTGGATTGCCTGAGCCTGCGGGTTTGAGATCTCCCGCCTGGGCAGCGAGATCTCATCTCTATAATAAATCAAAAATTAGCCGGGTGTGGTAGCGCGCCCCTGTAATTCCGGCTCCTCGGAAGCCTGAGGCGGAAAGATCGCCGGAGCAGGCTGCGGTGGCCAGGAGCGACAGAGTGAGACTCCAACTCAAAAGCAAAACAAACAAACAAACAAAAAACTGGGCGATCTGGCAATAAGTTCTGCATTCTACTGGCAACAACTGACCAGAGACTCTCAGCCTCTCATGTGAGTGGGCACTTTGCCTACTCCTCCAGGCCTCTGGCATCTGAGCCTGTGACCTCGGGAAGTCTCAGCAGGAGGAGGCAGAGGGCAGGACGAAAGGTTTCCTGAGTTCTCACGGCCTCCTTTGTGGCTCCTCAGACAGGCCCTGGGCTCAGGCCACCAAGACTTGTGGTGCTAATGCTCCTCAGCCCCCAGGCAACAGCAGAGCCCATGACATTGCCTGTCTTACCCCGGGGCTACAGCGAAGGCCTTGGGGTGGGGGCGAGGCACCTTTGTTTGCAGATGAGGAACCAGGCCAAGTAGGGCTGGAATCTGGAGCTGGGTTAGGAGGTGAGAAGGAACAGGCCTGAGGCCAAGCTGGGCCTTGGGGACAGAAAATGACTGTCTCTGATTGTTGGCTGTAGTAGTGAAGGGAACAGTCTAGGGCTCTGATAATATCTCCTTCGCTGAAAACTATTTTTCTATAAAAGGTCTGTTTCATGCAACTTTTCAGGGATTTTAAAACCCTTAGAGGGGGTGTCTCACTGTTGAGGCAGGTGTAAGTCACAGCCCTGTTTGTGTAGAATCCTCACATCCAGCCCAGCCCAACCTCCCCTGCCCTCCAGGGCTGTCCCAGGCTCATTCCTCCTCTGTGTTGACATCTGCCTCCCCAGGGTTGTTGAGGAAACTAAAAAGGTAAGGTAGCACAAACCTCTACTGGCGCTTGGTGTTCAAGGAATCAGGGTCTAATTAAGAAAAGTACTGTGAAGCCGGGCTCGGTGGCTCAGCCTGTTATCCTGCGCCTTTGGGAGGCTGAGGTGAGTGGATTGCCTGAGCCCGCGAGTTCGAGACCCGCCTGGGCAACTTGGCGAGACCTCATCTCTACAATAAATCCAAAAAAAAAAATTAGCTGGGCGTGGTAGTGCTCGCCTGTGGTTCTAGCTACTTGGAAGGCTGAGGTGGAAGGATCGCCAGAGCCCAACAGGTTGAGGCTGTGGTGGCCGGAAGCGTGCCACTGCTCTCTTGCCTGGGCAACAGAGTGAGACTCCAACAACAACAACAACAACAAAAAGAAAAGTACCGTGCACCAACCTCTTGGTGTGAGAAACAGAGAGAAGGTAGAGCTGTTTCTCGCCCTCAAAGGCTCATTGTCTAGTAGAGGGGACTGAAAGAAAAGTGTTAGGGTCACACTCTCCCAGCAAGGCCTCGAGAATGTTAGGTCAGACCTGCTGGGGTTGTGGGTGCCTGGGGTGCAGTCTGATGTCTCATGAAAGATGCAAAGAATTGCACAGAAATTAGATTAGAAAATATAGTTAAGCTAGGCATTGTGGCTTACGCCTACAATCCCAGCACTTTGGGAGACCGAGGTGAGAGGATTGCCTGAGCCCACGGGTTCAAGACCAGCCTGGGCAACCTGGCTACTTGGAAGGCTGAGGCGGAAGGATCAACGGCACCCAGCAGTTTGACACGGGAGTGGCCATGAGCCTGTGTGCCACTGCACTCCAGTCTGGGCGACAGAGTGAGGCTCTAACTCAAAAAAAAAAAAAAAA